GATTATAATAAATGTTTTCTTTTTCAAATTACTATGATGACTAAATGTTAAATCACGATGAGTATCCTGAAAAAACCATAGGTAAATATCTAAAGAAATTCCACTGTGAACTAGATTGCACTTTGTTTTCTTCTTAAGAAGATTGATAATTTCTAATGAGACATGGAGAGGCATTGATTAAAATGACAAACTGAAGTTAAAACTTTATAAAGAGAAAATGTGAATGACTGGTAAGCAAATTGTAAAAATTATTGGCAGTTTGACACAAGAACAGCCATTGACACTGCATTTTCCAGAAAAGAATATATTCAAATAAAATGACATGATTTCCAGTTCCAATTTCTGAGGCCCCAATTCCTTGCTACCAAATGAAGTGATTTTCACGTAGTTGGGTATCGGAACGTATCTTTTACCTGAGGAATTCATGGCGGCAACTTGTTCATCGATAGAATCTCAGCAACGTGGACCTGGGAAATGTCAGCAAGTAATTATGAGGTGAGTTCGTGATGTGAGATTATTGATGGGTTCTAGAAAATTGTTTTGCATTAGAGAAGATGAGATTGGTAAATAGCAAATTGAATCTGTTACCTGATGGAATCCATTGGGATGAGGCTGCTGGTGGTTAATAGATGGAACGCCCATCAATTAGAACCTCAGGAACGTAGCTGATCGTGGTCCAGTAGTCTCCTTTGTACTTCGAACAGCGTCTCTTAATAAGTGGGCAGTCATCGATCCAAAGGCTCCAAAGGTTGTGGAGCTGGTTGTCCATAGGCAACGCCACGAGATTTGGGCATTTTGAGATGGATAAACGTCGAAGAGATGTGAGGTTTTGGAATCCCTTTGATAAGATTTCCAGTTTCGGAAGGTCACTCAACCACAACTGAGTTAGAGATGGAGGAAAAAAATTGTGTTCATCATCATTGTTGGAGAAGGAAACCAGTTCTGGATATCCACCACTGACCACAAATTCATACAGGGAGGTGAGTTTGTGTAAGTCCCACTCTGCCAGGGGCTTTAGTTTCCCGCAGTTGGTGATTGCAAGGGAGGTCAGATTGGGGGGAATGTTCCCTTGTGGAAAGGGCTCTACTAATGAAGTACAATTCTCCACCCACAGGGATTTAAGAGATGATAGTAATTCCATCTGGTCGGGTAAGGTCTTTAGACGACGGCAATCAGTTATATGAAGATGTCTCAAATTTGGAGTTGGCAAGCCTCCCAGGGGAAACGCTTCCAGATCATCACACGAATATATATTGAGGTAAGTTAAACATGAGTAATTATGACTAGACCCCAATAAATTTGTCATATTTAAATTCCCCCAATTGATAATAAGAGATTCGAGTGAAGTTCTACACTCCTCTAACTCCACCATCTTCAACAACGGGCAATTTTGGATAGCCAATATTGTTAGAGGAGATATGCTCTTAGGCAAGAACTCTAGAGCTGCACAAGAGTCAATACTAAGGGATGTAACAACAGGAAGAGCACCAATTTCTTGAAGGGACAAGAGCTGAGGGCACCTTTTAACAACAACCTTCCGTAGGTTGTCTAGTTGTCGTGAAATATTATCGTTTGGCCACAGAGTCGCTAGGTCATCACAGTGATCAATTTCAAAATTTTCAAGTTTCAAAGGAAACCTCTGAAATGCTTTCAAGACTGAAGTTAACCCAAAAATCTTCCCCAACTTCAAGTGGGTTAGGGAGTTCAAATTGTGCATGCAATTTAGCACCACCTCATTACACTCTTCTACTTTTACTCCAAAAGTAGATGGAAGCGAAAGAATTGGAAGCCTGACCAATTTAGGACATCTTCGTATGAACAATTCAAACAACTTAGGAAATTCAACTGTTGCTTCTACTTCAAGCGATAATCCATGCCACTCCTCCCATTCTGGCATGTCCTCAAAAGTCAGAGTTTCTAGTGATTGAAATGACAATTTTTCACTGCATAGATTTCCATAAAATTCAACTCCAACCACTTTTACTTGATTCATTCCTTGAATGCTCAATTCTCTTAGCAAGGGTAGATGCCCTAATGTTGGCAAACTCATGCAGTTTTTACAAGAGCTAAACCTTATTTTTGCTAACTTGAAGAATGACATATCCCCAATCCAACCCGATAACTGTGCACCACCATAAAAATCAATTTCAAGACTAGATAAATTCTCATGGGGCTTTAGAGCATTAAGCACTTCTGCTTCCAGCATTTCATTTCGAGAATCATCGAAGTTGTTGCTCCATGCCAACCTTATTTTGTTAAGACTTGGTTTATGCATTAGTCTCGCATCTATTGCTTCTTGAACATTCACCACATTTTGCAGTTCCATTATATAAATTTCTCCTTGTAGAAGCGAGAGTTTCCCCAAATCTTTCAATTTCAACCCTCTGCTTTTACTCACAATCAGCTTGGATAATGTCTGTAAACTTCCCAGTTGAGCAATTCCTTCCGGTACCTCATCTAATAGATCAGTATTAACAATGTCCAGATGATGGAGATTGATAAGATTTTCTATCCCTGGCGGTAATTTGATAAGTTTGTCACAGTTCCTTAGGATCAACACTTGTAAGTTGACAAGGGTGATCAGGGATTCAGGCAACCGTTTGAGCGAAGTCCTGTTTAAGTTAAGATATCGTAAATGTCTTAGGTTACTGATAGAACTTGGCAGCTCATAAATTGAATCATAACCACTTAATGATAGCACTCTTAAGCAGCACAACTTTGGCAATAGGTCGAGCAAAACTCTTTGGGACATGAAATTTTGACCAACGTACTTGTTTATGGGGAGAGGCAAAAAAGTTCTTAAACTCTGAAATTTATTGACAAGGTTAAATTTTTGGTAGGATTCAAAGAAATGGCGAATGAACGACAAGTGACGGACCTTTGCAGAAATATTGCTTTGAAGATTTTCCTTCAACTTATCATCCAACATCAAACATTTATCTCCAGCGACACTGATTGCTAAGTCATTAAGGAGGTCATGCATCACAAAACATGAAGAATTGAAGCCTGATTGTTGGAAGAATGATCTCGCTAATAGTTCATCAAAATAATCACTTCCCAATTCTTCAGTTGACCTCTCTTGCTGTGAATGATGCAGAAAACCTTCAGCCATCCAAAGATACAGCAGCTCGGACTTGTCGAACTCATAGTCCTTGGGGAAGATGGCACGATAAGCAAAACATCGTTTCAGTTGTGGAGGAAGATATTGGTAACTGAGTTTTAAAGAAGGAAGAATTTCACTATTTTCTCCATTTATCCAAATTTCATTATTCAATACATCTTCCCAGTCTTTAGGATTAACTTTTGTGCGAAGGATTCCTCCAACAGCCTTCACTGCTAGTGGCAAGTTTTTACATCTTTTCACCAAGTATTCACCCATCTCTTTTAGATCTTGTCGTACATCAAAATTCTTTGTTCCCAGTGCATGATGAGCTAACAACGATAAAGCATTATCGTCTGATAACACAGTCACATGATGTGCTGAAATTGGCGACATGATTTTGGCCACCCTTTGATGTCGACTAGTAACAATGATTTTGCTCCCAGGTCTGCCAGAAAGGAAAGGACGGCGTAGAATGTTCCAATCTCCATAATTTTCATTCCAGACATCATCTAAAACTATTAGGAATCTCTTGTTTAAAAGATTTTCCTTTAGTTTGACCTGAAGCATGTTAAAATCTTCATAGTCACACCTTCCACCGGAAACTGCCTCAAGGATGATTTTTGTTACCCTAAAAGCATCGAATTCATCAGAAACACAAGCCCAAGCCTTCAGATCAAACTCACCGTTTAATCTTTCATCATTGTATACTAACTGGACTAGGGTTGTTTTCCCCACACCTCCCATTCCCACAATGGGAATCACAGATATTGGACTATCACTTGATTCAGCCCCCAACAACATCTCAATTATTTTTTCTCTGTCCTCTTCTCTTCCATGTACATCAGATTCATCCACAAGTGAAGTCATTTGCAATTTTTTTCCTTTTTTTCCCGGCAGCCCCCTCGTGGTCTCCATTAAACTAAGCATACTAATCTTCTTGACTAGAACTTCCAATCGGACATTAGTATCTTGTAGTTTGGAAGCAATTCCGCGGTCAAACATAAAATCGCTATAAGCGAGATCAGTACAGCAAGTAGGGAGAAGCTTCCGTACCTTACTGGTTCCGCCTTCAGCTCCAACTAATCTGCGCTGCAAAGCTTCAGTGTGCAACTCATCCACTAAGTCATCAAGATCATAAGCCAAATTCTCCAATTCATTCAGCCACTCTTTCACTGCTTCATTTGCTGTTTGCTTGTTTTCAGCATCGCTAAGTACAGATTTAATCATCAACAATGTCGTACGCCATTCTTTCAGGTGGGCATCAATTCCTACGCGACGCAGAAATTTTAGAAGCTCACCAGATGCTAGCTTCTCAAGCAAAACTGTGACAAATGCACCGAGAAAGACTTCGACCATAGCCATTTTTGTTCTTTTTTTTCTAAGAAAGAAAGGTTTTGAGAGGTGAAAGCAAGAGAGGAATTTTTAATCACTCGAGTAGAAAATGATTGCCATTGCTCGTGGCTTATCATTATACAACTTGGTAAAATTAATTAAAGCGCATTGATGGTTGGTGGAGCCAATTCAAATGCACACATATATTGACGGAAGAATTCAAAACTGAAGCTTGGACTAATATGGCATAAATTTCTATAATATAACCAAAGATTATAATATTCTTCGGTCAACGTAGGTTAACATTGTTGGATTTTTTTTAATTTTTTTTTATTATTTTTTTCTTCTCTCTCTGTTAACATCATTTTCTTTCATGTTCTTATACACCTTAAAAATAATAACATTAAGCACCGGTGTTAACATATTCATAAGAAACTGATGCTGAAACTTGAGATATTGCGACAAATTGTTACATTAAGACTCTGCATTACTGAATCAGCACTTCTGGGATAATATAGAAGTCAACTTGTACAACTTGCATCTTTCAAAATTCTACAAAATTTCTTAGGAGGAATTTGTCCAGGACGGAAGACAAGTAAAATACGCCTCGTTTTTCTAAAATTATATGAACGAGTGCTTCTTTTTGTCTATACATCGAATGTATCATTAGCCTTGCTCTTCTCCAGTCCACCCTGTCCAGCCTAGTGATTTCGTGCAACTTTCCATTGGTGTTGCCTCTTTTAGTTTAACCCATTTGCAAATGAGTTCAATTTCGCTCTCAATTTTGGCTTCATCTCTTCACCAAATTCTGCACATTCTTCCAGCGGCCCCACCATTCCAGTTGCCTATATTGACTAACATTCCCATTCTTTGACATTGATATCCATTATTATGTGAGATCCCTTCTCAAAACTTCACACATATTTTACCCACGTTCCTTTACACACACACACACAAAAAATCGGCCACACAAAATTGTCCATATACTGCTTATAGCGGTGAGCAGTTCAACAATGGTGTTCCATAACAAATACATAGTGTCATATAGGGGTGTCAATTTAGCTCGTCTGTTGGCACTATTCATGACTCGGTAGAACCGAGTTGAGGCTTGTGCCGAGCCTCATTTTGGGATGTCTACTCGAGCATGAGCTAATTTCAACCCATAACACGCTGAGCCTAAGAAAAACATAAATAAATGAAATTTACAAAACATTTTTAAAAAATAAAATTAGGCAGCTAAATAATCTATGGTAGATTTTGATGTATACTTAGTGTAGATTAAGAAAAGAGTTCATGTTTACCCTTATAAACAATGGTTTGTAAATTTCTCTCCAAGGATTGCCAACACTATTCTGTAACAATCTTGGTGCCACTCATCTGAGCATTGCATGAATCATATTCACCATCTTTTTCAACGAAGGCAAGTACAGGTTCAGCATGTCAATACCCAAGATCGTCTGACCTCCTTACTAAACATACCTCTTGTTCACGGATCACCTTGTTACAAAATAAAATTGAACTAGCCGATGATAATTCCACCTTGCGGGGCGTATTAAGGATGACATAGCAGTCGAACTATCGGCAGCTATACAGTTAGTGAGTCAGGATGCCAAATCATGCAATTAGCACAATATCAAAATGCCAACCAATAGCATGATTGGCGGCCTTCAATAGTGTGCTGATTTGTAGCTATCCATTCTTGTATATTCTATACTGTATATATTGACAAAACTGAATGAATATGGTGAAAGGCTGAATACATGTATAGTGTAAAGCTCTTTTAGGGAGAAGTAGAAGAAATCTGAGGGTTACATCGACCATTTGTATTGAACAAATCTTGTTTTGATTTCTAGTATTAGAGCCTAATATACTTTGTATATGCTCAATTGGTGAGTAGCATTTAGAAGAATGTGGACATTATGGGTTTCTGGTATTAAATCTTTAATTTTTTGCAAGTTTTGTTTCTGCAATTTGGGGTTAAAATGTTGATTTGGGACAAAAATTATGCAATATATATTCAATTAGAGATGGAGGAAGCAAATAGTGTTGATCATTATCGTTATCATGTTAGAGAAAGAAACAATCTCTAGATATCCACCATGCAAGCTGAATGCTAATCCAAGACAATTCAGATTGGGGGAAGTGCTCTACTAATGAAGGCAAATTACAAAACTGCGGTCATTTAAGGGACAAGTGTAGTTCTATCCGGTTAGATAAAGACTTGAAATGTTGACAATTCTTGATCCAAAGCAATCTCAAATTGGGAGTGGGGAAGCCTCCTGGGAGAAACTACTCCAGAGCATCACATAAATCAATTAGTAGTCTTCTAAGACTTGAGTAAATTCTAACGGACCCAAGTAATTTGGTAACTTTCAAATTTACCCAAGAGCTGATACGAAGTTCTTCAATTGAGAGATTTACATTTATGTAACATTATCGTTTTGAAGGATGCACAATTTTCGATATAGGGAACATCTATGAAGATGCACAATTCTTTATATGAAGATGATCAATTGTAGGAAGAACACCAATTTCGGCAATGA